GCGCGCTCACTTAACCACCAAGCCACGGGGCTGGCCCTCGTCTTTAGTTTTTAAACATAGGAGTATACTTGTAACTGAACCTGACGTCTTTGGTGCCTGACACTCTTGTGGCCCTGCTGTGCCGACTTGCGTGTCTGCTGGCTTTCGTACGTGGTGCCTTATGTGCTTGGTGCCCTTTGTGTCCTAAAATAAAGTGCCTTTATCAGGGGAGGGTTTATTTGCTTCTGCCAGGTGCCTGGGATCCGTGAGGGAGCCCAGGGTCATTTTAAATGAATCCTCAGCCTGAGAGGTTTTGGGGGGACCGCACAGGTGATACGAACTTGGGCTGCAAAGCCACAGTGTTAGCATGTGATTTCAATTTATCAGGAAATTATTTTCCCTTTTCTGCTGAACACCAAAGTGTTTTGTTGTTGTTTTCAGTCCCTGTATTTGGGGAAAGGAGGGAATTGTCCAGTAGGTGTAGCCTTCCGGGGCCCCAGCTTTATGGGGAAGCGTTCCCCATTAAGCATATCACCTTATACTGGCCCTTCTAAGCTGTGAGCCCGTGAGGAAGAAAGCCCAGCTCAGGTGTGCTGGTTGGGTGAATCCCTGGGGACTCAGTGGTTTAGGTGCTGTGACAACCTCTCTGAGTCTCACCTTTACTTGGAGTTTGGCCTGAAAATTCCGTATCATGTTATTTGCTCTTTGATGCTCTTAAGAAGATTTAAACCATTTTATCCAGCATTTTTAGTTATCCATAAATGAAACTGTAGCCTCTCTTCCCAGGTTGGAAACAGCAGCTCAGAGCAGACAAGGCCTTGGAGCAGTGATGGGGCCCAGAAGCCTAAAGGAAGAGCTGGGTATATCTGGAGGAAGGCTCCCCCCAAAAAATAGACAGGAAAAATGGACAAGCAATCTCAGTGTATAAGATGGACCAAAGGTCTTCTACAGAAGAAGGGTTTCTGTGGGTTAATGTGACACCGAGAACGCCACAGTAGGAAAATGGGCAAAGGACACAAACGGGCGAGTCACACAGAAGTGGAGATGGAGCAAGTGTTTTCCCTCGTGGGCATCCAGTCAGTGGAGGCTGCCCCACGGAGGGCCGGGGCACGCGGCGCTCGCCTGCTCCTGACACGGGAGCAGATTTTGGCAATATCAAAAAGCCATAGCAAAGGGCATACCTTTTACCCCAGAAATTCCACTTCTATAAAAATCCCCCAAGGAAATGTTTGTATGTTTGTGTGTAGAATTTTAGCTACAAATATTCAAGGTAAGGTTTTCTGCAAATCATTTGTAAAAATGAAAAACACACAAATAAAAAAGCACTCATACCCCCAACCATTTTCCTTTTGTGGGATTATGTCAAGTTGGTGACAGTTGGCTTCTCTGTCTCTTTGGTCCCATGCCAGTGGAAAACTGCTGCCAACTCTTAGGTTGTATCATTTTCAGGTTTACTTATGATTACATCAATATAAAAATGGACTTCCGCTCTACGTGTTGACTGCAGTGCGTCTGTGCTCTGTTCTGTGGGTGTCCTGGCATCGCTTAGCGTCTGACCTCGCCTCTGCAGTGGCTCCACGGCCGTCCCTGTGTGACTCTACCATCGTTCACCTGACTTCTCTCTCCTATTGATGAGTGTGTTGGTTGTGTACCATATTTTTTAATTTCCTTTCTATTTCTCTGCTCTAATAAACAATTATGCAAAGAACATCAGTGTACTCACGTCTTTATATATGTGTGCCGCTGTTCTCTGTAGGACAACTTCCCAGAGGCAGGACTGCAGGCTCAGAGGATTTACTCTTTTTGGATTTAAAGGGTCCAACCAGTGAATGATGTGCTGGAGCCTGCTTATATTAGCTTGTGTTAAATTTTCAGGAATTCTGAGAGCTGGTTAAACACAACCACTATTAAAAATTAAGTTAATTTACAAATAGGTCATGTTAAAAACAAAGGCAATAGATACTGAAAACTCATTACTTTCTAATTTTGTCACTATGTTTTACTATTACCTATGTTATTATTATCTATGTTCACCCCTCTTGTATCTGAACAGTGGAAATACAACACAATGCAGCCACTTTGCATCTCTTCCTCATCTCCCTTTCAGTGATAGCATATTGATAGCTTGAGATCAACCATGATGGCTGCATTTACACCATGGAAACTGGCAAATGCTCCAAGTCAGCCCCCTTCCCCCTTTTCCAGAGTGCCAGTTATGAAACATTTGCCAGGCCACGAAGGTACACAACTGAATTACCCTCCCAAAAGGTCACACTGAGCTACACTTCCACTAGAAGTGTATTGGATCTTGCCTTGTTAATATTTTTTCATGATTTTTTCGTGTTAATGAGCATTTTGATTGCGTCTCTGCGCTTCGCTGCAGGTGGGTGTCTGTGGGCCACTGGTGCACTGTGAGTTGCCTGTTTATCCTGTGGTTTATTTTTCTATTGGGTTGACTGACATTAAAAAAAAAGGTGGAAGGGGTGAGAAAAAAGAATTGAGGTCTGTCTTATGTAGTGGAGACGAGAACCATGCTGTTTGTGGCAAATCCTTTTCTCCCATTTCCCCTTTTACTTTACTCACGATGGTGTTTTCTCTGGAGATAGTCCAGTGTGTCCACTTTTTCCAGTGTCACTTTGAGAATACCACTTCTTAATAAAAATACATCTCAGTGTGCCTAGAAGGACCGGAAAGGCTGTATAGTAAATGCCACCTTGCTACATGCCTGGGTGGGGCTGTTTCTGCCTCTGTGTGTGTCTGTCTGACGTGTTCTCCATTTGTTCTCACGTAGTTTCCCCATGTGTCAGGTGGGAATTGAAGGAATAATGGATGTACTGGACCCACTGGGATACCCAGGAAGGTGCAGTAAGTGGAGTGTTCTTTTCTGAAGTTTCTGCAGAGACCATAATTGATTTTATGGGAAAAAATTTTAAAACGAAAGAAGCCCTGACCTCTGTCTCCTTAGAAGTGTGGGATGTAGGCAGGGCTCCTGGCTGGTGCCCTCGCCCACCTTGTCTGCTACGGGACTGGGTGCTGGGGCAGGACCCACCTCCTTCCACCAGGTCCAGAGCCTGGCAAGTGGGGGCTTTCACCCCAAACCTCCCAGATACCCAAAGCCGCTGTGTACGGTTGTGCAGGTTGGGCCCTGCAGGTCCCCGTCCGCGCCCGCTGGGGGCGCCGTTCCCTAATGTTCTCAGAGGCCGTGCCCGCGCCGTCTGGACGCGGCCGTTGGCTCTAGGTGGGTGAGGGGCCGGCCCGGCGGTCCTAGGTTCGAGAGGAGTCCGAAGCGAGCAGCCCGGGGGAGGGTCCGGGCCTGGCCAGCTGAGACCTGCCACCCTACTTCCGAGGGGCCGGAGCCATAGGCCTGCGCCTCGACGTGGCCGCGGCCAAGGGCAGGGTGGCTTGGGGGTTACGGTATGGGATTTAGGACCCGCTTTCCCAAACTCGCCTCGCGCCGCGGGGAGTGGGGGCGACCCGGACCTCCCCTCGACGGCCTAGCGGTGCAGCGGACATGGGCCTGGGGCGTGCCGGACCTAACAAGGGGGGTGTGCGGCTCAGGGTCTCCCAGACCCCCCCTTCCTCTGGGGGGCAGCACCCCACCCCGTTGGGCCCGAGAGGACATGCACACACACAGGCTTGCTTTCGGGGACTTTACTCAAACGCTGGAACTCGCGGGAGGGGCAGCCAGGGGGTCCCGCGCCCACCGCCCCCCGGTTTAGCCACAGTCGGCGGCCAGCGCCGAGATCACGTGGCTCAGAAACCTGTCCAGCGAGGCCTGCAGGACGGTGCTGAAGTCTCCGGGGAAGTGCCGGGCGAGCGTCACCAGCAGGCAGTGGCCCAGGAGCTGCGGAGAGAGGGGTCGTCCCGCCGGGGTCGTGCGTCCCCGCCCCGTCGCCGCGGGGAACGGCGGGCCCGGCCCGGCCTGCGGGCTCACCTGGAAGCTGGTGGGGTCCACTCGCAGCTCGTGCGCGTGCAGGCGGCGCAGAGCCGACAGGGTGCACGGCAGGTCGTCCAGGTGGTCCATGGCGAGCGTCAGCGCATCGGCCACCTTCTGGCCGTGGGCTTTGACCTGGTCAGAGCCGGGGCTCAGGTCCAGGTGGAGGAAGTAGGTCGTGGTGGAGGGGAAGCTCAGGAACATCCTGCGCGAGGAAAGGCGAGTGAGGTGCGTCTGGGGTGCGGGTTGGGGAGGAAAGGCAGGCGAGCCCGAGGACGCGGATCTTCCCGCACCTCTCCAGAGCCTCGGTCGTGTACACGCCGACGTTGCCACCCAGCTTCTTCCACAGCGCGCGCAGCGCCGCCCTGTCCGCCGCCGCCAGCACCATCGTGCGTCCTGGCCGCGAGCGCGAGCTCGGCGCCTGCGCCGGCGGGCCGGCGGGTCCTCCGGGGCGCCACGCCGCGGCCGGGCCGCGCCTCCGGTCGCACAGTCTGGTCCCGAGGTGTCCGGGAGCGCTCGCCTGAGCGTCTGCTCCGACCTGGGACCTTCCCAATCACCCTGGACCTTGAGGCCCCCATTTTTGTAGTGTTTACTATATGGAAACTAATATTTAATATGTATTACTATTATTAGATAACACTGAATTTTAGCACGCATTTTGGCATTGGACGTCAGCTTATTCTGCCTCCCTCCCGAGTCTATTATGGCACTTCCCTGAGTCTATTTTCTCATTTATAGTCTAAAATGAAGGTAGTTTCTTCTTCTCAAGGTTGTTGTGGGAGTTAAATGGATAACAAATGTCAGGTGCTGGCTCATAGCGTGTGTTCCTTTTAGGACAATGGACATGTACCGAGTGCCTCGGGTGTACCCCAATAGTGACAGCTGATACCTATGCAGTGCTCATTCCATGCCAGGAACCACTCTACACCTTTCTTTTTTAATTGTGGTAAAATTCGTATAACATAAAATTTACCATCTTAGCCATTTTAAAGTGTACAATTCAGTGTCTTGAATTACATTCACAATGTTGTGCAACCATTACCACTATCTAGTTCCCTCAGCCCCTGGCAACCACCAATCTGCTCTTCTGTCTCTGTGGATTTGCCTATTCTAGTTATTTCATATAATCAGACAATATATGGACTTTTGTGTCTAGCTTCTTTCCACGTTGTAGCACGTATCAATACTTCATTGCTTTTTATGGCCGAATACCATTCCACTGTATGGATGGACCACATTTGTTTATCTGTCATCCGTTGATGGACATTTGGGTTGTTTCCACTTTTAGCCCAGGCCTTCATTTTTCCTAGTAATAAAATAAGGAAGACTGCCTTCTGAGAGCTCATGCTGTGCCACCAGCTGTGCTAAAAGCATCACAAACTGAGGCAGGAGACCTGCCGTCATGTTTTTCAATGATGACTTTTGGGCCCAGAGAGGAAAGGACATTGCCTTCAGTGGGGGGCTGGACAGCTGCCAGGACCAGACACCTCAAGCCGTCACTCTGAAGCCACAGGCGCTAGGGGCCTGCTCCAGGGGGAGGAAGCATGTCAGAGTGCCGGCTCCCTGGCCCTGGCTCTCCTCTCCGATGCAGCACTGGAGGGAGTCCATGGGTCTCAGGGGTGCCAGCCTCAGGGCGGGGTAGTGGATGCTGCACTGGGCCCGAAAACCAGGCCTCCAGACCCGTGATGGCCCCAGGATGTCAGTGTCTGCAGAATGAGCGTCCTGGGAGGGGCACCAGGTGGAAGCGGTGCCTCCAGGAGATGGCCTGGCACCTGCAATTGCGCTGCTCGCCCTCAGTTTCATCTAGACGTGCGTGTATTTGAGAGGCACTCGGGGAGGGGGGATTTCAGTGCAACTCCGAAGGAGTCTGACCTCTGTCCTCCTCACTGCCCAACTCTGGGAGGAGCCCTGGGAGAGTTCAGAGGTCCTAGGCTGGAGGCCAGCCAACCAGCAGTGTGAGCGTGTGCAGGTGTGTGTGTGTGCATGCCATAAAATGAAACGATGAAAAACGAATTCATTATTTGAATAAACCCCTGTTGAATGTGCAAGGCTCTGGAATGAAATGCAGGAAGGGGTGAATGTACACAGCAGAGCACTCCAGGGTGACCATGGGGGGTTGCAGCACACCCCAGGCAATGGCAGCGGACTGGCTCCACTCCCTCTCTCCCCTTCCCTCTCTGTCTGCTGCTGGGAGGTCCTTGGTCCGAAGCAAGGAGACCACCCCACCCCTGGCAGTTCGCAGACACAGAGAACCAGGCGCACACAGGCTGCAGCCCACTCAGACTTTATTCAAAGATCAGGAAGAGCCCGCCCTGAGCGCAAAGGGCCCCGGGCTGGGGGCAGGGATGGCCGTGGCTCCAGCTTAACGGTATTTGGAGGTCAGCACGGTGCTCACATTGCTCAAGAACTTGTCCAGGGAGGCGTGGACGGCAGGGGTGAAATCTTGGGGGTGGTGGAGGGCCAGGGTCACTAGCAGGCAGTGGCTCAGGAGCTGCGGAGAGAGGAGCTATCAGGGGGCGTCGGGGCGGGGGCGCCCGAGCTCCACCTTCTGGGACCCACGGTATTCTCTGCCCTCTAGGGGGTCCCGCTGCGCCCTCCATCCCAGGTCTCTCCCGCTCGGCCCGGCCCGGCCCGCGGGCTCACCTTGAAGTTGACGGGGTCCACACGCAGCTTGTAGGCGTGCAGGTCGCTCAGAGCCGACAAGGCGCCGGGCAGGTCGTCCAGGTGTCCCACGGCCTGGGTCAGCGCATCGCCCACCTTCTTGCCGTGGGCCTTGACCTGGGCGGAGCCGTGGCTCAGGTCGAAGTGGGGGAAGTAGGTCTTGGTGGTGGGGAAGCTCAGGAACATCCTGCGGGGAGAGGAGGGTGAGCCTGGGGGTGGGGATGGGGGGTGGAGGAGTCCGGGGGAGGGTCCTGAACCTCGGATTCGGAAGGAGGCGCCGGCCAGGCTCTCCCCGCGACTCCGCGGTCTGACCCTGAGATCTTGGGGGTCTTTGCGCCAGCCAGGTCGGAACCCATGAGGGTGTTATTGGCAGGCTCCTGGGGCGGGTGTTGGGCCCTGGGGTCCCGGCCGGGGAAAGAAGGGTCCTCACCTCTCTAGGGCCTCTGCGCCATACTCGCCAGCCTGGGCGCCAACGTGACCCCAGGCGGTCTTGACGTTGGTCTTGTCGGTGGGAGACAGCACCATGGTGGTAGTTCCGAGTCTGTGTCGGGACCAGAAGTGTGGGAGGTGGGCAGAGCGCGGGGCTTTATCTTCGCGGCGCGCGGGGCACGCCCGCCCGGGCCGCGCTCATTGGCTGGCGCGGAGCCGGGCGCGCGGGGGACCGGACGGCAGGGGGCGCGCGGCGGGGTCTTCGCCGGCTGCAGCGGTAGGGCTTCGCTCCCCATGGGCTGGGGGACCCGGGGTCCCCGGCCAGGAAGTTCCTCCTTCCTGCCGGCTGCATCCATCCCCCGGGAGGCGATATCCTCGGCCCCTGCCACGGGGTCGGTTGGTTGGGGTTGGGGGCGGGGGGTGGTCGGTGCGGGATCTTCCACCGTGAGAGCTTAGTGGCACCGTCATGGTCCCTGAGTCGCCGCCCCCATAACCAGGCTGCGCTCTCTTGGGATCGGAAGGGAGTGAGTCAGCCCCGCCGCCCGCCCTGGACCGGGCTTCCCTCCCGCGTGACTGTTTAACTTGGGCAGAATCACCGAATGAATGGGCAACGGAGTGCGCGAGGGAAGAAAGGCTTCGTCGTCGGGGCAGAGAGAGATGCGCACAAGAGGTCGTTGCTCACATGGGCTCAAGAATTCCCGCCGGAAATCCCTCCTGCTGCCTTTCAGCCCCCTTTCTATCCACAAATAATCACTGAGTGCCAGGCGGGGAGGAAAGAATGGAGGGGCAGAATCCGCAGGGCTGGGCGGGCTCCTGGCTCAGGCTCCTTCCAGGGCAGTGGTTGCTGCAGCCGCAGGTCGGGGGCTCACAGAGGCGGCCTCTCCTATTCGGGACCCCTGTGTGATTCTCCCCCACTGACCAAGTGGTCCCGGTTCACAGTGACACCCCAGTCCCCCAAATTGTGCGTGACACAAGAATCGCGGGCTAACTACTGGTTGAATTGATAAAGCAACTGGCTGAACCAGACCTAAGCTTTCAGCCTAGTTAGGGACACAGTCATCAAATCATCACACAAGTGCATACATGGACACAAACCGTGTGGAAAGCCCTAAGGAAGCACGGAGGGAGTGGATGAGGCGCTCAAGGGCATCAGGGTTATCTGAGGATCACGGTGGGCTTCCCTGAGGAGGTGAGTCTGGAGGATGAATAAGTATTAGGTGGAGTAGGGGGGAGGCTTGTAGGGGAGCAGAGTGAGAGAAGGCCTCTGTGGCTGCAGAATGCAGGTGGGGAGATGGGGGGGTGATGAGGCTGGCCAGACCCTGCAGGATGGGGGAAGGGAGGGACTCCTGGTGAAGCAGTGAGAAGGAGCAGGAATCCTTATTTAGCTCCTTACGAGAACAACTGACAAAGGACATTAACAGAAAATTAACAGAAATACAGAAATGACCAATGCATCTGTGAAATGAGACAGAGCTGAAAAAACTGGCTATAAGAAATGTAGAGGAGACACGTTTCAGTGAGAAGAGTGGGTTGCAGACAATTATCTACGGTATGGTGGTATTTAAAAAAATTATTTTATTGAGGTCACATTGGTTTATAACATTGTGTAAATTTCAGGTGTACATCATTATACTTCAGTTCCTGTATAGACTGCATCGAGCTCACCACCAATAGTTTAGTTTTTATCCATCACCATACATATGTGTCCCCCACCCCTCTGCCCTCCCCCCACCTCTTCCCTTCTTATGATGGTTTTTGTGTTTGTGTGTGTGTGAGGAAGATTGTCCCTGAGCTAATATCTATACCAATCTTCCTCTATTTTATATGTGGGACGCTGCCACAGCGTGGCCTGAAGAGCAGTGTGTGGGTCCACGCCTGGGATCTGAACCTGCAAGCCCTGGGCTGCTGAAGCAGAGTGTGCAAACTTAACCACTACGCCACTGGGATGGCCCCTCATGATGGTATTTTTGACAAATATCATGATATTTTTCACACACACAAAAAGAGTAGTTGTAGCTGTAACTGTGTCCCCCCAGCACGGAATAGGAGCCAGCAGGCTCAGCCCCACACTGTTAACTTGGGCTTCTTCTGCAGGAGTGGGGACAGGGCATAGGGAGTCTCTCTCCCTTCTTTGAATAACACGAAAAGGGTGTGTATGTGTGAAAGCATGAGTGGATTTTAGTTTATTTCTTTCTTTTTTTTTCTTTTGGTGAGGAAGATCAGCCCTGAGCTAACATCCATGCCAATCCTCCTCTTTTTGCTGAGGAAGACCAGCTCTAAGCTAATATCTATTGCCGATCCTCCTCCTTTTTTTCCCTTTTTCTCCCCAAAGCCCCACTAGATAGTTGTATGTCATAGTTGCACATCCTTCTAGTTGTTGTATGTGGGACGCCCCCTCAGCATGGCCGGACAAGTGGTGCGTCGGTGTGCGCCCAGGATCCGAACCCTGGCTGCCAGTAGCAGAGCTCGAGCACTAACTGCTAAGCCATGGAGTGGCCCCCTAGTTTATTTCTTAAGTGTTTTTCTACGTTTAAATAAAAATGTGTTGGGCTGTGGGGCAGAGGAAGAGTGCGTGGTAGAGAGGGGGAAGCATCTCCGGCTGTTCAGGGAGGCCCATGTCCAGAAGGAAAGTGGTGTGCAGGGAGCTCGCCACCCTCCCCAAACTTTTATCTAGCGCTATGTGTTGCCCTGGAGATCTGGGCTGGGCTGGAGGCGCTGATGGTGTCTCTAAGGCGGCTGCACAGCCGGGTGGGGTGTGGGAAATTCCAGCATGGAGTCCAGGGCTTCAGCACCCGGGACAGGGGCCTTTCTGAAAGCGGCTCACAGCCTGGGGCAGAACCGCTGGGAGACCCCAGGAGCCTCCAGCTAGAGAATGGGGGGTACAATTAGCTGGGGGACGCAGGGCTGGGCATGCTGTGAGCTATTGCTGTGGTCGTGACCTGCAGTAAAAAGGGAGGCGGGTGCTCCGCTAAGCGCTTCCCCAAGTGCCCCTGACAGCTGCAGCTGGCCTTGCCCTCTTCCTCCCCGACTGTCCTGGCCACCCACCACAGAGGGTTCCTGTGACCCAGGAAGGGTGCGCGGGGCTGCGACGCCTGTTCCAAGCCACCTTCCCTCTGATAGGAAGGAGGTGGAATCTCCTAGGACTTGTCCGGCGCCTGCATTTGCACAGGAGCAGCCTGTTTGTGGTTTGTTTTGATCTAGATTGTATGTTTAACAGGCATCAGTCAGCGAGACTTCAAAAGAGGGTGGCGACCTAACAAGTCCCCACTTCCCAACCCAGAGAGGAACCCAGGACAGGAGCACGGTTCAGAGCATTCCCTGAAGCATCCGCCATAGCTGCACTCCCTCCGCCCTCCCCCACCCCTGGCAGTTCGCGGACACAGAGAACCAGGCGCACACAGGCTGCAGCCCACTCAGACTTTATTCAAAGATCAGGAAGAGCCCGCCCTGAGCGCAAAGGGCCCCGGGCTGGGGGCAGGGATGGCCGTGGCTCCAGCTTAACGGTATTTGGAGGTCAGCACGGTGCTCACATTGCTCAAGAACTTGTCCAGGGAGGCGTGGACGGCAGGGGTGAAATCTTGGGGGTGGTGGAGGGCCAGGGTCACTAGCAGGCAGTGGCTCAGGAGCTGCGGAGAGAGGAGCTATCAGGGGGCGTCGGGGCGGGGGCGCCCGAGCTCCACCTTCTGGGACCCACGGTATTCTCTGCCCTCTAGGGGGTCCCGCTGCGCCCTCCATCCCAGGTCTCTCCCGCTCGGCCCGGCCCGGCCCGCGGGCTCACCTTGAAGTTGACGGGGTCCACACGCAGCTTGTAGGCGTGCAGGTCGCTCAGAGCCGACAAGGCGCCGGGCAGGTCGTCCAGGTGTCCCACGGCCTGGGTCAGCGCATCGCCCACCTTCTTGCCGTGGGCCTTGACCTGGGCGGAGCCGTGGCTCAGGTCGAAGTGGGGGAAGTAGGTCTTGGTGGTGGGGAAGCTCAGGAACATCCTGCGGGGAGAGGAGGGTGAGCCTGGGGGTGGGGATGGGGGGTGGAGGAGTCCGGGGGAGGGTCCTGAACCTCGGATTCGGAAGGAGGCGCCGGCCAGGCTCTCCCCGCGACTCCGCGGTCTGACCCTGAGATCTTGGGGGTCTTTGCGCCAGCCAGGTCGGAACCCATGAGGGTGTTATTGGCAGGCTCCTGGGGCGGGTGTTGGGCCCTGGGGTCCCGGCCGGGGAAAGAAGGGTCCTCACCTCTCTAGGGCCTCTGCGCCATACTCGCCAGCCTGGGCGCCAACGTGACCCCAGGCGGTCTTGACGTTGGTCTTGTCGGTGGGAGACAGCACCATGGTGGTAGTTCCGAGTCTGTGTCGGGACCAGAAGTGTGGGAGGTGGGCAGAGCGCGGGGCTTTATCTTCGCGGCGCGCGGGGCACGCCCGCCCGGGCCGCGCTCATTGGCTGGCGCGGAGCCGGGAGGTGAAGGCCGGGACAGCGCTTGCGGGAGTCAGCGGGGGCGGGCAGGACTCCCTCCGCCCCTCTCAGTCCGGGAGCCAGCTCCCCACCGCCCCTCTATTCCCGCTCCGGTGGTTCCGGGAGCCCACAGGTTCCCAAGCCACGCAAACACACTGTGCACTCGCGCTTGGCCGGGGCGCGGGTAGCTTCCAAGGCATCTAGTTGCGGGTCCGGGAGGGACGCACAGTCTTTTCCAAAGTGAAACAAGCCGCTTTGGCACCAAACTTTGCCCAGGACCGACAGCTGTAAACTGTCCATGTAGACAACTAGGGCGAAGGAGATAACGTGGGGTGAAGTCCTCCAAGCCCTCCTACCCCCAGTGGTGGGCAGGTGCTCCCGGGCAGCACATGGTAACGGGCGGGCACGCACCGCGGGGTCGCGGCGTTCGGCCGAACCACCGTCAGGGCTTAGTCTCCAGCATCGCCCTTAGGACTTCGGCGCCGACGGTCCCGGAACCGTCCTCATCAGAGTTTGGAGAGGTCTCAGGGTCCCTCTGCCGTCTTCTGTTCCCTTGTCCGCAAAGGTTCTGGGTTGAGCGCTAAGATTCCTGCCGCGGTGCCGCAGACGGGAGAGATCGACCCTGGGGCGGGGCGCCTGGGCCGGGGAACCCGCAGAGACTGAGACGCAGCGGCTGCTGCCGGGGTGGGGCTTCGGTGGCCACGGGCCTGCCGGGAACCGACCCTGCATTATCATCTCATAAATTTTTTCAAAGACCCAGCGAGGCCGGAGGTTTTTCGGTAGGATTCGTTAAGCTCAGATTGCACGGGGACACGCCCAGTATCACACAGCTTGTGGATATGAACCGGGTTGGAAACCTGCTCTGCCAGATTGTGGCCATCGAGGAGTTCCTTCCTACCCCCATCCCTCACCCCAGGAGATTCAGAGGAAGGGGATAACTTGGCCCAGGGCAAGATTTACTGCAGGCTGGGGCGAGCGGGAAGCGGAAAAGGAACAGAGATGGGGGTCCACGGAACACAGGGCCGCAATTCTGATTGACCTCAGGAGAGGAACTTGGCCCCTGGGCCTGGGTGCCTGCGTCTGTCTGCAAAACGGGCGAAGATTTACGCTCCCAGATTCCCGCGCGAGGTAGGGATGGAGGGAGAGTGATTGAATGAGTGAGTGAATGCGGACGTGCTTCGTGAACTGTAGGGTGCTGTGCGGCCGCTGAGGCAAGCTGAAGCCAAATACCCTCCCCCCATCCAAGCACTCACTCTGCCCTCCACATCCCCCCACCACAGGAGGGCAACTGTTCTAGTCAGGCCTTTGGGTGTCCACACCCTGCCCAGACCTGGGAGTGTCAGCCCAGGAACCCCACGCATCAGTTTGCAGAGCTCCCAGGGTCTGGCTCCAGGGCCCCTGCTCCCTTGTCGGCAAACATAGGGCCTGGGCCTTGCTTGCTCAGCAAGGGCCCACAAGCCCATTGCAACCATGTGTCCTTCTGGCTCCTTCTGGGCAGGATGCCCAGCTGCTGGGATCTGTAACAATCCAGGGCCTGGCCAGCCTGGATCTTACCTCACTCACTCAAAGAACATCACGTCTTGAAGGGACACAGAGCCCCTCCACGTGGACTACTGTTCCTGGGAATGCTGGTCCTACCAGGGACAGCCCCTTGGCAAGCACATAGCCCTTATGTCCCCTGCTTATATAAGCAATCCCCTCCCGGCCCGCGGTAGCGGGTGCACATTGCTGTCCAGCCGGCCGCCGCTGGACCTCCCTGTAAGGAACTCCCAATAAACCTATACGTCTCGTTCGCCGTCTCCGGGTCGTTTCTTTGGTCTCTCCGCAACCTATGCCGCACTGCTCACCCAAGTGGGCGTGCGGCCAGACAGCAAAGGTTCGGGGTCGCGCTCTAAGATTCCGAGAGGCTCCCCGCGCAACCCGGAGCTTCTCTGCCCAACAACAGCGACGTTAGTCCGCCGGTCCCCCAAAGACCACACAGGGCAAAGACCCAAGGACGCGCAGAGTCCGCAGTTTGAGGCCTGTTTATTGACGTGCACAGACCTAGGCCGGCGGGGCACAGGACTCAGCGGTACTTGTCGGTCAGCACCACCGCCGCGCCCCTCAGGAACTTATCCCACGCCGCCTGCATCTCCATGGCGAACGCGCCCTGCAGGTGGGAGGCTAGCCCCACCTGGAAACACTGGATCAGCAGCTACCCGAGAAGGGGCGGGTGAGATGGGGAGAGCTCCCGCCAATTCCCCGAACTCCACCCCACATGCCTCAGCCGCGCGCGTGAACCCTGCTGCGCCGGGCTGGCTCCCTGGGAGGTTGGAGGGGTCCACGCGTAGCACGTGCGCGTGCAGGTCGGCGAGCGGGCTCAGGGCCGCGCGCAGGTTGTCCAGGTGCTGCACGGCCGCGAGCGGGCTCAGGGCCGCGTGCAGGTTGTCCAGGGGCTGCACGGCCACGCCCACCGCGGCGAGCAGGCGTCGTCAGCGGCTCAGTAGCTGCACCTAGTCGGGGCAGGCGCCCAGGTGCTTGAAGTAGATCTTGGTGCTGGGATACATGGTGAAGACCCTACGGGAGCAGGTCGGTGAGTGGGGAAGGTGGCCGTGTGGAGTCCTTCCAGCGCCTTCACCGCCCAGACCCCCAGAAATCTCTGCCTGGCCCGCCCGCCTGGACTCAGGCCCAACACCCTGTCTCCGCCTCCCTGCGATCCTGGAGACTCTGGCTCTACCCACCAGAGCAGGAGCTCCGCCCCGAAGGGCGCCTCCTGGCCGGCTATTAGGTCCCAGACCTGCGCGACGTAGGCGCGCTCCTGGGCGCTGAGCGTGGCGCTGGCGTGGCGTGCTCTGGGGGCCGCTCCTGCAGCCCCTGCCGCCTCCCCCTCCCGTGTCCTGCCCGCCTTTGTCTGCAGGAGGGAATGCGGGGACTCTCGGCTCGCACCGGGAAACGTCGCCACCTCAGGTCCCCAGCAACGCGAAGGCCATGGCCTCAGGGGTCCCTGGGTTGCTGGTCCTGACTCACGCTGCTGTGCGTGGGTGCCTTTGTGCAGACTTTAGGGGGATCTGTAATTACCCCCTTGCGGCCAATTACCCCCTTGCTCTCTTCGCCAGGAGAGAGCTCACTGGAGGGATAGGGAGAACGCGCGCGGGACAGCGGACCCTCTTTTCCCCGAGGGGCCAGGAGAGAGAACAGCATCAGGGGTCCCATCAGCGCGGGAGCTATGACGTCAGGCTTTGAGGAAAAGTCCCCTGAGTCCCGACACACACCCAACACGCTGAGTGAAGTGACAATCTTAGGGTGATTTGGGAAGCGGGAGAAAGGCGCAAACGCAAGTCTGACCCAAGGACATGGCGTGGGCGGGCCTGGGGCTGCTCTGCTCCCTCCAGGCTGCGACTGTGGGGTCCGCAGGCGCAAGGACGCCCCAAAGCACCCTTGGAGTGACCTCCAGGCCGGGGGTGACACTAGGATCGACCGCGTTCCTGAGAAACCCACATTGTTTCCCTCACTTTTTCCCCTCCTTCCCCTCAATACTGAGAACTCTGGACCCAACTCTCTCCATCCTCATCCATTTATTGGGGAGTCCCGGGAGGAACTGTGGGAGGGTTCAGGGGCACGGGAGGGGTCGCAGGCCGCCCTCGTGGTCCGGAGGCTGTGCTCAGCGGTACTTCTCGGTCAGGACGCTGGACACGATGGACAGGAACTTGTCCCAGGCGGCGTGGGCGTCGGCCGTGAATTCGGCGGGGAAGCGCGAGGCCACCGTGACCAGCAGACAGTGGGACAGGAGCTGGGGGGCGGGAGGGCGGCTCAGAGCGCGGGCGGGGAGCGGTGGGGTGTCTCCGGGTGGGGGCAGCGCCTTCGGTCCAGACCCTGCCCCCCATCCCGGGCGCACCCATCTCCACCCGGACTCCCGCCGGGAGCCCCGGCCCTCGCACCTTGAAGTTGACCGGGTCCACGCGCAGAATGTAGGCGTGCAGCTCGCTCAGCTTGGCCAGCGCGCCCGCGACGTTGTCGATGCTCTTCACCGCGTCGCCCACGGCGGCCGCCACCTTGGAGCCGTGCGCTCGCAGCTGCGCCGAGCCCGGGTGCAGGTCGAAGTGCGGGAAGTAGGTCTTGGTCTGGGGGTAGCTGGCGAAGAGCCTGCGGGAGGGAGGGGGGAGGTCGTGAGCTGGGGGACAGCTCCTGGGCGCGGGGCCAGGGGGCGAGAGCCAGACCGGTGAGGCAGGTAGGGCACGCACCCTGGGCGCAAAACTTAAGGGACGGCGGTCAACCCAGCCGTCAGGATAAAGCACATTTTAACGCAGGATTTTAAAACATAAAAATTAATGCAAAACATTCACATTAGACAAAATATTAAAATTTTAAATAAAGACAAGATCAATATCGCTGTTTTTTCCTGTTGCCCCAGGCTCCGGTATGGCAGGGCACTGTCTCACCCTCACTGCCCCATCTTTTTTTTTTTTTTTAAAGATTTTATTTATTTTATTTTTCCCCCCAAAGCCCCAGTGGATAGTTGTATGTCGTAGCTGCACATCCTTCTAGTTGCTGTATGTGGGACGCGGCCTCAGGATGAACGGAGAAGTGGTGCCTCGATGCGCACCCGGGATCCGAACCCGGGCCACCAGCATCGCAGCGCGCGCACTTAACTACCAAGCCACAGGGCCGGCCCCGTGCCCCATCTTTTAGTCATTCGAGAGATGTTGGTGGAAACTAGTGTGCAGGCTGGTGTGAGAGTCACAGTCCTACCCTCATCTCCCTCCCCTTCCACCTCCCCTTCCTGATCACTCACCGGCATCGACCTTTCCTCACCACACTCATACTCAGGCCTGACCCTTGTCCTCACTGGCCCCTCCTCACTGGCCCTCCTCACTGCCCCTCCTCACTGGCCCCTCCTCACTAACTCACACTGTCACCTACCCAGCCCTGTCCCAGCCCGTTTGGCACTCACCTCTCCAGGGCCTCGGTGCCGATGGCGTCCGCCTGCATGGAGATCTTGCCCCACATGGACATGATGATGGTCCTCTCAGCCTTGGTCAGAGACATGGTGGTGGCTGAACTGGAGCAGGATGTGCTCAGGACTGGCCTCTGTGGTGCTCAGCCCCCAGGGTCCCCTTATATACACAGAGCCAGGGTGGGGGCCAGACTGTGGCCATTGGTCAGGAGAGGGGAGGGGGCTGTGAGGGTGGTGGTCTCTTATCAGATTCAGGGACGATGGGCAATCAGGGCCTGGTGGGACTGGTGGGGTGAGGGGCTATCACTCCTGCCGCCCTTGCTGGGCCTTAGAGGGGGCGTTGGCCACAGCCTGACCAGAGTCCAGGAGAGATAGGGGCCCAGCCAGCCCAGGAGGTCATGCTTGCATTTGCAGCCCAGCTCTGCACCATCCTTGTCCATTTCAGAATCACACAAAGGGGGGAAGCCAGAGGAGCAGGGCCCAACACACACCCTCCTCGGCTGGCATGTGCACCAAGCTGCCTGCACCACTCCTCAGTGGGGTCCTGTAACCGGCCCAGCCTGGCCACATGTCGGTCCCCTTCCCCCTCTGGCTCTGTGTTCCCCAGGTTTCCTCCGAGAAAGCAGTGGTTTGGCACACCTGGCACTGAGGAAAGATGTACTGCAGGTCTGTCACCTGAAAAGCTGGAGGAGGTGGCAGGTCCATAAAAGAATACTTCTAATATCATGTGCTACTAGAGATTGCAATATTGCTCACCATAGCATCATTTTAATATAGTGGGGCAAATATTCCTTTAAATTTTATTTTAACATACAATAAAACTGGCTTTTTAAAGTGTACTTGCTCTGTGAATTTTGACATGTGTATAGATTTGTGTCCCCCCCTGCACAATCAGGACACACAACAGCTCCATCACCCCAAAACTCCCACATGCTGCCCCTTTGCAGCCTAACCCTCCTCTGCCCCGAAACCCTGACAACCACTCTAACGTTGTCCTTTTCAAGGATATCATATAAATGGACCCACATAGCCTGTCATCCTTAGGACTGGCTTCTTTTACTTAGCATACCCATGAGATCCATCCACTCCACGTTGTTGCGTGTGTCCATCGTTGGCTGCCTCTTACTGCTGGGTAGTTCTCCATGGTATGTGCATTCATTCACCCACTCAGACATTTGTTTTTTTTCGTGTTTGGGGCTATGACAGATAAGCTGCCAGGAACGTTCTTGTGCAGGTCTCTCTGTGAATGTAGGTTTTCATTTCTCAGGTGACACCATACCCAGGAGTAGGACTGTTGGTTCATGTGCTAAGTGTATGTTCGACTTTATAAGAAACTGCTGTTTTCCAGAGTGGCTGTACCATTTTGCATTCCTATCAGCAATGAAGGAAAGTTCTAGTTGCTGTGCATCCTTGCCAGCATTTTTACGTTTTATTCATTCTGACAGATGTATGGTGATACGTCATTGTGGCTTCAATTTTGCATTTCCCTGATGGCCAATGATGTAGAGCATCTTTTCATGTGCTTATTTGCCATCCATATATCCTCTTTGTTGAAATATCTGTTTTGGTCTTTTGCCCATTTTTAAGTTGGGTTGTTGTTTTCTTACCAGGGAGTTTTGAGAGTTCTGTATATAATCTGGTTGCAATCCTTTGTCAGATGTGCGATTTTCAAATATTTTCTACTGGTTTGTAGCTTTTCATTTCATCCTCTTAATTGTATCATTTGTAGAGCAAAAGTTTTAATTTTGATGAAGTTCAATTTATCAAGTTTTTCTTTTATGATTCATGCTTTTAATGTCATGCCTGAGAACTCTTTGCCTAACCCCAGGTCACAAAGATTTTCATCTATGGTTTCTTCTAAAAGTTTCACAGTTTATATTTTACATTTAGACCTATGATCAATTTTGAGATAATTTTTGTGTAAGGCATGAAGTTTAGGTCCAATTTCTTTTTTTTTTTTTTTTTTGCCTATGAGTGTCCAATTGTTCCAACACCATTTGTTGAAAAGACAGCAAAGTACTTCCTCTCTTGAATTGCCTTCTCACACTCATTTGTAAAAAATGAATTGGCTGTATTTTTGCAAGTCTATTTCTGAACTCTCTGTTCTGTTCCATTGATCTATGTGTCTGTCCTTCATCAAAACCACACTGTCTCAATTACTGTAGCTTTATGTAAAGTCTTAAAATTAGATAGTGTCCCAAGAATGGGAGAAAAATATTTGCAAATCATATATCCAAAATATATAAAAAATATCTTACAGCTTAACAATAAAGAGACAACTAATTGAAAACTGGCCAAAGGACTGTAATAGACATTTCTCTAAAGAAGATATACAAATGGCCAATAAGCACATGAAAAGATGCTCAAGATTATTACTCATTAGGGAAATGCAAATCAAAACCAAAAAGAGGGGCCGGCCCCGTGGCATAGCGGTTAAGTGCATGTGCTCCGCTGCTGGTGGCCCAGGTTCAGATCCCAGGCTGTACCGATCCCCTTCTCAGGCCATGCTGTGGCGGCGTCCCATATAAAGCGGAGGAAGATGGACACAGATGTTAGCCCAGGGCCAGTCTTCCTCAGCAAAAAGAGGAGGATTAGCATAGATGTTAGCTCAGGGCTGATCTTCCTCACAAAAAAAAAAAACAACAACAAAAAAAATCAAAGTTAAGGAAATGGAGCTGGGAAGGTTATGAAGCATGTTCAAAGTTTCAGTGGCGGAGGGAACCAGCCCCGAGGGGGAGAGGAGACAGGTTTGGGGTGGGCTCTTTGGGGCTCAGGCAAGTCCCTTCTGTCTCTGGGCCTCAGTTCCCCCCTGTGACAGGAGGAGCCCGAGCTGCTCCAGGACACTGAGACCTGCTGGTTTCTGGGCTGAATGCCAAGCTCCAGGCTCATTCTGAGCTTGTGTAGCTGGGGCTGAGCTCAGAGGGGCCCCAGTGACTTGGTGGAAGACCGAGACAGGGTTCACAGACCCTTCCCTGACAGCAGCCCTTGGGTGATCCTGGACAGGTGAATTAACCTTGTGAGCCCCATTTTCATTGTTTTAACCTCTCAGGTGGGGAGTAGAATGGGGGGATAATCTGTTACCATAGGACCTCAGGACACGGCAGCATGAATTCAAGATTGTTGTAGTTACTCTTGTGGGTGACTGCTTCTTCCTGGGCAGGAACACTGCAGCCGAGAAGGTGGAGGTGTCAAGGTGGGTCCAAGACAGGGTCTGTGAGCCCCGCCCAGCCCTCAGACAGACCACGGTGGCTTTATCGGGCCCAGACCAAGTGGCAGGACTGATAAGGCCTGGCCATCCAAGCGGTCCCCTGGCCTTGCCCAGGGTGGACCCAGGCTGGGAGGAAGAGTCCCGAGTTTCCAAGAATCCACTTACCTTCAAAAAAGTCGGTTACAAAAGAGAGTTATTTAAATGTAAAATGAGGACTTAGAGGTGTGGGGTGGTAGCAGGGGGCAGTTTGAGGAGACAGACTGCAGTGAGCAGAGGGTGGTCATGGGCACATCATTATTCACAAGATGGTGTGAGTGCTTCGAGCCAGGACTGCACTTAGAGACCATCTATGCCCAATCCTGTTACTGGTGGAGAACCCGAGGCCCAAAGCAGGCCAGCCTTCCCTCCGGTCCTCTGGCTACTGGCACAGGCTGGCCTGGCCAGAGAGTGACAAGGAGCTCTGATGTCTGTAACAGCCCAATGGGGCAGACAAAAGTGGACACTGAGGTGCTGCTGGTGAGGGTGGTGTGGGATTGTGACCTCTGCTCTCTCCAGCCCAGCCCTGGACAGCCCTGCACCCAAGCCCTGCGAGGGCAGCCTGGGAAGGGACATATCCAGGACCCCTGTCAGCCAGGATCCTGGTGATCTCCCTTCACCTTTCATGGATTCCAGTGCTCGTTACAATGAGAAGATATTAACTCTACAGCCAGAAAAATAGACAATGAGTGCTCTTGTGAAGGTTGTTAGCAGGAAGCGGGGGTAACCCTGAGGGGGTTAGTGGGGAATTGTGGGTTCCTCTGAGTCTGGGCCTTTCCCCAGCCCAGAGACAGCCACCTCAGAGCCCCTGGACAACAGACCTCCTCTTCCCGGTTCTGGGGCCATGAGACTGTCCAATGGGGCAGCAGCATGGCCAGGGAAGTCGGAGTAAAGAGGCCTGAGCCAGAGTCCTGGTCCTCATGTCTGTGCACCTGCAGATTCCCAGGGCTCCTGTGAGGAAGCCCCCATTACCACAGTTGGCCATCCCCTCAGACACTGGGCTCCCCCTTCCCCATCTGCCCAGCTCTCTCAGCCTCACCTCCTGGTCCTGTACCCTTATTTCCATTCCAGGGACACTCCTGGGAACTGTGGGAGAACTCAGAAAGCTTTTGATTATACATAAAATCAAAACATACGAGACTGGGAAAAAGGCTTGCAGAATCTGTAACAGAGAGCGACTCTTCCTCATAAAGAAAGAACAGATCCAAACCATCAAGGAAGGACAGCCCACAAGGAAACAAGGAGGCAATTCCCAGACACTGGCAAATCATCAAGGGACACAGTCCTCTACCTCAGTGATAATCGAAGAAATGCAACGTAGAACAAGACACCATTGTCCTGTTTGGAAATTCTGGAAAAAAATAAAATCAATGCTATGCAGCCCCATGCAGGGCAGTGCGTTTGTTGAAAAGTCTGAGACATTTCACATGCAGGTACCCTTCACCCTGGCGGGTTCAACCTGCGCATCTGTCCTGCAAAATACACGTTTGTGTCAGCCTCAGTGCAAGAGGTTACTTCAGCAATGAAAACGCTTATCCTTCAGTCAAGTGATTACATTCTCACCCATTTGATGTTCTTGAGAAAGATTTAGAAACAGCCACAATGGACTGTTAACAACGGTCACCTCCTGGGGAAGACTGGAATGGGATGGGTGGGGTGATTTTTTTGACTTTCGGAAAACAGCTGTGTTGAGATATAATTCCTTTACCATAAAATTCACCCATTTAAAGTGTGCAATTCAGTGGGTTTTCGTATATTCACAGAGTTGTGCAACCATCACCACAATCAATTTTAGAACATTTTCATCACCCCAAAAGAAACCCCGTACCCATTAGCAGTCACAACCTCCAACTACCCAAGCCTGGACAACCAAATCTACTTTCTGTCTTTAGGATTTGTCTATTCTGGACATTTATATAAATAGAATCATACAGTATGTATGTTTTCAAGGTTCATTCCTGTATCAGTACTTCATTCATTTTTATGACTGAAATCTATTCCATTGCATGGATTATACCATATTTTATTCACCCACTCATCAGTTGATGGACATTTGGGTTGCTTGCACTTTTTGGCTGTTATGAATACTGTTGCTATGAACACATAAGTTTTTGTGTGGCCTTATATCTTCATTTCTCTTGGGTATATACTTAGGAATAGAATAGTTGGGTCACGTGGGAACACTGTAACCATTTGAGGAACTGCCAGCCTGTTTCCCACAACAGCTGCACCATTTTACATTCTCACCAGGAGTGTGCACAGATTCTGGTTTCTCCACTTTCTCCCCAACACTTGTTATTTTGTCTTTTTGAGTCTAGCCATCCTAGTAAGTGTGAGGTGGTATCTCTTTTTGGTTTTGATTTGCGTTTTCCTAATGAGTAATGATGTTGAGCATCTTTTCGTGTGCTTATTGGCCATTTGTCTATATTCTTTGCAGAAATACCTATTCACATCCTTTGCCCATTTTTCAATTGTTGAGTTGTAAGAGTTTTAAAAAAGTATATTCTAGATACAATTCCCTCATCAGATATATGATTTGCAAATATTTTCTCCCACTCTGTGGGTGCTCTTTTTACTTTCTTGGTGGTGTCCTTTGAAGCACAAAAGTTTGTAATTTGATGAAGTCTAGTTAATATTTCCTTTAGTGGCTCGTGCATTTGGTGTCTTATCTAAGAAACCATTGCCTAGCCCAAGTTCCCGAAGATTTACCCTCACGTTTTCATCTGAGAGTTCTATCGCGTTAGTTCTTACATTTGGGTCTATGATCCCGTAAAGTTATTTTTTTCACTTTTTTATTTTAGTACTTTACATTGCTAAGTTCGAAGTTTCAGCCCAAAGCAAGTGTTACTTTCACAATGAGGAAAACATTTACAGACAACTGCGGCGAACCCAAGAACTGATCCGCACGCACTTGCCCATTCACGCTGGTGGGCGCTTCCCTTCTCCCCACGCTACAAAGGGGCGTCCCCAACCGTGTGCGTGCGCTTGCGCGTAGCGTCCCGGAGACGACCCTGCGCCTGCGCACACGGTTTTCTGCGCCTGCGCAGACGCCCCTGGCCCGCGCGCCATCGTCTTCCGTGCTTTTGTCTGGCCCTGTCGCGAAAGTCTCGCGAGCCTAGGTGGCGCGTGGTCTTGGTGACTGTCGCGCTGGGTCCGTCGGCTTGGCTCCCGGCTCCGAGCATTTCTGCGGCCTTGGGCGCGTCCTCGTCAGGTCCCCTCAACCCCTGCCCCCGGGATCGTCCTCCTCAGGCGCCCCCCCCCC